TTAATTAAGTTTCTATTAGACTTCATAGAATCTTGTTGTTGCATTTTCTATTTAACCTCCACAACTAGATGCTTAGTGTATTTTCAAGTAAGTATTCATATTATACAACATCATGATCTATAGGTCCTAAAGCACCTGAAACTATGTATTTTACATTATTCATGCCTTTATTTTCATATTTTTTTTAGATATGTTACAAATTGACATATGATTTTTTTATGTTTTCTTAATTTTTTTTTTTTGGAATTAAAATATTAATTCATAAAATATATAACTTTTAGTACCACAAAAATCTTAAATTAACATATCAAATTAGCATAATAAACTCAAAATATAAAAAAACTAGCTTGCTAGATTAATAATCTAAATTCAACTTGTATTTTGATTACTTAGCCAATTAACCATTATAAATCTAAATTATATTCAAATTGGTTTTTAACATATCTCTTATAAATTTAAATCAATTTAAAATCTAGTTGCTATAGATTGTGAAGTAAAAATAACTCAAGTAGAACATGTAAAAGTATTGTGCTCAATTTCTTTGCAATTTTTACAAAAGCACTCATTTATAGTTGCAATTTTAAGAATTCCAAATTAAGAAAGAAAATATTATGTAAAATTTTTTCTATGTAGAGAAGATTAACTTAACCGATTTAAAGTGCCATGTAGCAAATCTTTTAGACACCTAATTATTGAATTTTTTTAATGCCATGGTTATTGATTCTAGTTCCAACAGTTGCTAATATATCTTTTGATATTGGTAGAATATAAGTAAGTCATATGTATAATCAATTTTTTCAAAGGCAAGGTTTAAATTGACAAAAGTAGTAAATTTCCTTGCCATTAATTCAACCATTAATAGAGTTATGTTCATCAAGTGATACTGACAATGGAAATCATCAACTACCAAAATTTCATTGTTCTCCTCTATGATCCAAATTCAATATTTATATAAAAGATCCATTGTGATTATAGATTTTTTTTAATAAGAAGTATTGTTAGAGTTTAGAGGAGCTACAATAGATTGAAATTGCTGAAATATAAGGTCTAAAGCATTCATTGATATCCTCTTTATAATACTTTAAATATATATATATATATATATATATATATATATTAATTATGATGGTAGCATATACAAATGTATTCAAAGTTACCATATGCCTTAATCTATCGAGTTGCATTATTAAAAAAGTGAGACAACAAAATTTGTACATCTTGAAGATTTTTAGTAGAAACCTTGACATGCAACTTCAAAGCATAATGCTGACCTTTCCATGCAATATGGTTATATATATAAAGTAGAGAGTAGTATTTGTCCAATATTTTATAAATTCTTTCTTGTATAGAAGCTAAGTTTTTTGGAGATATTCAACAGCCTCATTGGTAGTTACAAAAATAAATTTGGTGCACAAATTTGCCCATTATATATTAAAGATGAATTCATCACATTGGTGTAATTTGCAAGAATATTGGACTAACCTACTTCTTCCTTCAATGAAAAAATTCATGCAATTAGCTAGTACATTCTTTTGAATAGGATAATTTTTGAGTCAAGGTTGACACCAAATTCTAAGGCACAAAATTGTATATCTACAGTAAATACAAGGTTTTATTGTTGCTCAAAGAATAGAGACTAAAGAAAGATTCTCTTTAAATTGATTTTGGACAAATTGTATTTTTTATAAACTTTATGAGACTTATACAAAGTCAAAATTTGATTTAAGTGACTTTGTTTTTCAGAAATAAAATAGATTATATATTTTGGAAGATTATTATAGCAAATCTATGAGTGAATTTTTATAGGTTTTTGTACATATTTGTGCTAAACTTGTGATGTTAATTTGAATTCAATTGGTTGATTAGATTCAAAGTTATAAGTATTCAAGTGGATTAGAATATTGATAGTTGGTAGTTTGATGATTGATAAGAATTTTAGATATTATTAATAATTTTTGAATTGGATTCAAAAGTAATTTTGTAGACTTAAATAACAATATTTATGAAAATTTTGAAAACAAATTAATAGTGCAAGAAAGTGATTTTGGTATTAAAATTTTTACATCAAGGTTAAAAAATAAGGTTTTCTACTATTCTAATAATTTGATTACCTTTTCTTTCAATTTGTCAATACAATTTTTCTTAATTTTCTTGAGTTTTTCAACTATAAAATTAAATTATGTGTAAATTTTGGAGTAAAATCAATAATAATTAAAAAAATTATATAATTTTAAAAATCTTTTTTTAGATTTATTAAGGATTAATAAAGATTATTAAAAAACAATTAAGACTTTTTTAGATTTATATAGAATTTGGTTATTTTTTAATTATAGTTTTTTTTAAGATTTTAAAGAATTTAATAAAGATTTTTTAAATATTTTTTTGTATTCAATTAATTTTTAATAGAATTTATTTAGATATTTTAAGATTTTTTATTATTAAATAATGATTTGATAGGATACTTCTAAGATTTGATAGGATTTAATAAGACATATTTTAGATTTAATAAGAATTATTTAGGATTACTTAAGATTTATTATGGAGCTATTTGGAATTGATAAGCTTTTAAAAGACATATCTAGAATTTTTCTAGGATTGATAAAGTATACTTAAGATATTTTACAAATTATTTAGGATTTTTTTAGATTTTTTACAATTATATGTGAGATAATTTAGAAGTAATAGGTATAAAAATAGACTACATGAAGGATTTAAAGAAGATTAAGATTTTCTAGACAAGTTTCTTTTAAATATCTTATGTATTTCTTGGATTATAAAAAAGAAATTTAAGGCTAATTAAAAATGTTCTATAGTCAAATAGCCAATGCACTATAAAGTTAAATTTCGTAAAATACAATATAAGTAATGAATCAAATATGAAAAAATTAGAATATATATATATATATATATATATATATATATATATTAAATTTAAATAATAAAAATTAAAGTAAAAAAATTAAAAGTAGAGCTTTGGATGGAATCTTAAATCAAGTTTTAAGAAAAGCCGCAAATAGAGATATTTTTAGCTAGTAATATATGTACTTTGATTCAATCTTTGCAAACATATTTGAAGTATTAGCTCTATTTATACATAAATATTAAAACAAGATTTTAAGAAGGATCTAATAAAAAAAGCCTTATAAGTGGTAGTGGACAAGATTTACTTATTTGAAGGTAAAGATATTATTAAATGTTTAAAGTGTTATGTAAAGAAGATGGATTTTTTTAGATTTTTTTTTAAAAGAATATGGTTTAATTTTTTAAACTTGCAATTGTACTAAAGATAAGAAAAAAACATAAAGACCATTATTAGACTTTATAGAAGTTAGATCTATAAGTAAATTGAAGCCTATCTGTAAATAAACATATGTCTAAAGGTGCATTTAGTGTGTTGATACTTCTCATATTTGAAAATATTCTATTGATTTTAATAAAAAGGTACAATTAAGAATAACAAAATCTACCAATCTAATAATCAAAATTCAACATAAAATATGTATGATACAAGTCATAACTTTGAATTATCAAAAAAATACTTTTTTAATTGGAATTATGATTCTAAATTCTAAAATATTCTTAAACAAAGCAATAATTTCAGATTTGAAGCTACATAATAATATAATAATTTATTATTTAAATAATATAGAAAAAATATAATAGTTACAATAATTATTGTTTGTAGTACTATAGATATCATAAGATCCAAATCAATGCTTATTTTTTCTTTTATGAAGTACATTCAAGGACCAAATTGATAAAAATGAATATCCATTACAAGAACTAAAGCAAGTAGATGGTTTCTACCATGTAATGTCATTGAATCGTATTTATGGCCTAGCCACCATTAATTGAATGACTAAACTAAAGTCATTGATGCATCCATCAATATGTATCCATGTCTTAGATTAATGACATCTAAAAAAACCAAAGACTAATTAAAAAAGCAAATTTTCTAATACCTCTTTGTAATCTTGTTTATTTCCAATGATCTTTTCAAATAAAGATAATCATTTATTCTTTCACCTAATAGCCATGTTATAACATAAAAATGCTATATCTCTAATTACTATATATAATTTTCTACTAATTTATTATATAAAATATTTCTATTTTGTCAAATGGTCTTTGCAAAATAATGCTTATTTTCTTCATTTTTATAACTCTTACAATAAATTTAAGCCTTGTATTGTATTAAGAGAATAAAACTAACTATCCCTGCATTACTTGTAATACAATATATAATAAGCAAGTTGCAAATTTCAGATCTCTTTATAATTTTTTCATTTATTAATTTATTTCTATTTTGGCTATATTTTTTATCAAAGATTGAATATATGTATAATACCAAAAAATTAATACTAATTTTAATTAGATATTAAAATACATAAAATTAATTTAAAATAAAAATAAACTACTAAATATCAAATAAAATTTATGAGAATTTCAAAACAGGTAAATCATTATTATATATGATGTTCAAAAAAATTATATTCATAAGTTCAAAGATAATCTTAAATATAAATTAAGGTTTTAATATTTATCAAAAAATTGCATATATTAAAGATATTAATATCTAATTATTTTTCTATTATTTTATTCTTTTTCATCAATTTCAAAGGCAAGATATCTACTTATCCATCTATTTAGCAATTTATTAATGTGAAATTTTTTCAAATCTATTTTTTAACCACTTTCATTTATAATGCTCTTTTTTATTCTTAATATTTTACTACAAAGAAGTAGAGGGATGTATTTGCAACAAGTGGTAAAAACTGTGTGTTATAATGTATTCACCTGCTTACACATTTACATGTATACTGCATAACATGTTATTCCCAAAACTAAGCAAAGGGCCTAATGTGTGTATATGTGTGTATCTATCTATCTATATATATATATATATATATATAATTTACACATACATTATTGTTTTAAACTAAAGATGGCTAAAGTTAATTTTGGACTTATTTTATTCATAAGAACATACACATGAATTTCAAAAACGCAACTGCTCTATTGTTGAGTATTGTTGAGTCAGAATCTGTCATTGTTCCAGCAAATGTCAGAATATGCCTTCCTAAAAACATTTGGTGCATTTTTAACTGAATTTTAGGTTGTATTTTTCTTTTCATTTCTTTTTCTCATTCAATACCATATATTTAACTGCTTGTTCTATGGTAAATTAAATTAGATCCTGGACAAATGTAATGTATAATTGATTTATTTATAATATTATGTATTTACCAAGGAGGTATTTATAATCAAAGTTTTTAAGACGTTACACATTTATATTTATTTTACAAATCCGTAATCTTAACCTAATTTTAAATTTAATTAAGGTTAACATTAATTTGTTAAACACAATTTAAAATGGATAATACAATAGATTCTTTAGCCTATGATGATCCATATTGTTTGGATGATGAGCCTAAAATTATACAAAAAGAAAATCTTCAAAGACACAAAGAGAAAACTACTACTAACAACTGTGAATGCATTGGAAATGAAATCAGTACGAGCTCTTATTCTCCAAATTTTATTTGTCCAGTATGAATATATATATATATATATATATACACACATACACACACACATCAAATGTAATAATGCACACTTCATCTTTGCAATTTAAACTATTATAATATATTTTTTCTATTTCAAGTTAAAACATATGTATAATTTATCATAATAAAATGTACAACTATCATTATATTAAACTCTTTGTAAAGTAAAATTGATAGATGAAGGTGCATTGATAAACATTCAAGTTATATCAAATGAAGAAGAATCAATTTTGGGTGACGATTCACAAAGCATTGCAGTTAAAGAAGTTATCAAAAAACCAAAAAGACGGACTAATGTATGGACCAAAACATCAACACGAAAAGGCAACAAAAGATCAGCGCCCTCCAAATCTTTTAAGAAGGATACATTAGAAGAATCATTTGACATTGGTTCAACCCAGCAGTATGTATTAGAGGATAAAAATGGGATCCAACTATCAAAGGTAGAAATTGATTTACAAATCGTTTTATTTCCATTACACACATATATATATATATATATATATATATAATGGAAATAAAACTATCAGTACTTGCTTTTGTATTGTTATTAATATTATTAAAATGGTATATATATATCTATATATATATATATATAAACCACTTGTCTTGTGGGTTACCATATTCATTTTTTCAGTTGTACAATAAATTCATGTTTTGTTTGTACAAATAACTAATACCGTTTTCTACCATGAAATAACAATCTTGTTATACTATTGCACAAATTGAAAAAAATAAAATAAAACAAAAAACTGATTTAGGACCAAAAAGCTGAGAAAGTTGAATTATCTTTGGACAAATTACAAGCTAGTAGTGAAAAAGGTTATCGAATGGTAAGAGCTACTCGTGGTGTCATAGAAGGTGCTTGGTATTTTGAAATCACTGTAAAGGCTTTGGGTCAGACTGGCCATACTCGTCTTGGATGGAGTACTTGGGAAGGGGATTTGCAAGCTCCAGTTGGATTTGACATTAACAGCTATGCATACAGGTATCTATTCCTGTTTTGTAATTAAATGACAAATGTAGTAAAAAAAATAAAAAAAAATAAAAATTGTAGCTAAATAAATGAATCTCTTCAATCTCTGTTCAGCTGTAAAATGATCATCATATGTTGCAAAATAGGGACATTGATGGAAGCAAAGTTCATCAAGCCATTCGGGAGCCGTATGGAAGCCCTTATTCTGAAAATGATGTTATTGGGTTCTACATAAACTTGCCAAATGGAGCTGAGTACACACCAAAATATGATTTTTATGTGTGCAAACCAAGTACCAATGTCTTCTCAGTGCCACTTGAAAAGAAAGATAATTTTTTGAGACGTATTCCTGGTGGGTTTTTCACATTGTTATTTTTATTCATTTGTTTATTTCTTCACATACATAATTGTAACCATGTTGCATTCTTAATACTTGACTTAATATTCCCTTCTACACAATTAAGAACACCATTTAAAAAAAAAAACAAAACAAAACAAAACAAAACAAAAAATCATCTTGAATTCAAAAACCTAACACAAGGAATTAATATAAATTTGTCGGAGCATAGGAAGTGAGATTTCTTTCTTCAAAAATGGTATATGTCAAGGCATTGCATATAAAGATATATATGGTGGAGAATATTTTCCCGCAGCATCCATGTTCACACTACCATCACCAGAAGTAAAATGTTGTGTACAATTCAATTTTGGTCCAAACTTTATATTTCCACCAAAAGATTGGGATGGTCGTATCCATCCTCAACTCATGTGGGAAGCCATGCCCCCTAAGCTCTTGACACTGTCATCTTATCAACCATTGCCAACAAAGCATCCAAAAGAATCAAAGAAATGGAATTCTCAAATAAACCCTAATGGCATGCAAAGGATGGTGTCAAAGCAAGGCTCGCAAGTTTCTATTGAAAATGAGGTGTTGGATGGGAACATGGAATGTGCACCTTTGACACAAGAAACCATGGAAGAACGGGATAAAGGAAAGCGGATTAAAATACATGGAAAAAATGGGCTTTTTGGTAGAGGTAGAAGAACAATTGGATTGTTTCCTTGTCCCATTGTTAGAAAACCCCATGTTCATAATGCCATTCACCCTAAAAAGATTATTAAGAAAAGCTGCAAAGACATGGTTCTTAAAAAGGTTAAAAATAGCTCACTGTTGGTACAAGAACTCACAGAGATTGATGCAAATGAGTTCAAAAATTCATAGATGAGTTAATATAGATTCTTTTTGAAGAATTTAGCATGTAAAATGTTGTCTATGTTAAGGACCAAAAATACAAGAAATGTTAAATATTACTTAACCTTCACACTTATTGTTATTCTTTTGGTAAAATAGAAAAAGGAGAAAGGAAAAAAGAAAAAAGAAAAAATTCGTTTTGAAGGAACTAACCCAAAACAACCATTAGAAATAATGTTTTGAAGATGAATACAGTTGATTGAAGGGTAAAATTAATAAATTCACATGAAAAAATAAATGGAATATACTTTTCTTATATGCTATTACTTGTTGTAATGAGTCCTTTTACAAAAATTTACATAGAATCGTCAATCCAAAATCAATACAAAGAGAAAATGTAGTTGATTTGTTTTAAATTGGTTAAAGCTTAAGTATTAAGCATTCGTGGTTATTTTGTTGTTCAGTCTAGCAGACATAAAAGAAATCTGTGACGATGATGATGATATATCAAATATATATATATCTATATATATATATATCAAAAAAATCAAATCAATATTACATTTACTCACCAAACATAAAGATTTAGGATTTGGATGCTATGCCATGTTCATTACAAATATATATATATATATATATATACATATAATGATTTTATTTAAATAAATTAAAATTTGAAATAGTTAGACATGGATTTATAATTAAACATTAAGTATTCAATTTAAGGTTTGAACTTCAAAAACATAAATATTTAACATTGGAAATATGGAAAACAATGTAAACATTTGAAACACAGACGTTTTGTCTGTCAAACCACCAACCTAGAAATTCATGAAACATACTACGCAATTATATTAAAATTAAGGAAGCCGTTTAAACTTGCATTGTGAAAAATAAATAACATTTTCCATTCATTAACAAAGAATATGAGACATGTACGAGCACACGTCTGCCAATGATTAAACACGAACAATTATTTATTTATTTTTCATTCTTCTGACGCTTTGTGAGGATAAAAGTCTATTTTAAAGACAGGTTCAAACAGGAAAAATTAGGGGTTGATTAACATTATTATTTTAATTGATTAATAGACGTTATGGGTTTACACTCAGATTACAATGGATACCGGGCATTGGTGTGGACACCGCTTGTGAATTATCCCGGCCACGGTACTCGGAATTTATATACCCTGAAATCCGTGACGGTTTATACCCTATGTGAAGATAGATATATACCCTCTGTACACACTGGGATGAATCCGGGTATCATCCATTGCAGTGCAGTGGCTCACACCTATGATCCGACTTGAGTCGGGCTTATCACCCCATCGCTTCTCATCCTCCATTGTCGCATTTGCGTCCGCCGTATCCGAGTCAGCTGTTGCTCGTGACGGAAGCTTTTAGTCGACGCGTCGTCGGCAGAGCTTAGTCTTCGTGAGCTGCGGATCTCCTCCGGCGCTGGCGTGGTTGAATTCTGAGGCACTTGGGGGCTGCGATGAGGTCGTAACGGTGGATCGGCGCTTTTCCGGGTTTTCTCTTACTTCGGGGTTGTTCGGTCGGGGAGAAGATGGTCGCCTACGGGATTTCGTGACTGCCCTGGAGGCGAACGCGCACTGCATTCTGTGATAGTGCTCTGCAGAGCTCTTTTTGACCTAGCATTGGTAAATTTTCAGAGATCTCGTAGCCGCTCGCTGTGTTCAGTCCCCCGACTTTACCGTGATTCGTCCAATGTCTCTTTTGGAAACGAGCGAGGAATGTTGGCTTGAATTGAGCGGTAATGCTAGCACAAGTTTGTCTTTGAAAGTAAGATATGAGTAGGAAAGTTTCTGCTTCTCATTTATCTGTTGCAGCAGGATGTGGTGCTACATTCCAAGGATCTATTGCACGATAAATATCGTTAATTGTAAAAATGTTCAAAGCAGCGTTGATTATTCTGCTGGTTTTGTTAGGGTTTTCTAGACTTACTAGAAGCCTCAGTCGTTCTCTGTTCAGATTCTTTTTTTGCGGCACGCATTGAATATTTTTCTGGAGTTCGGAGGCTTGAGAAGAATGTCTTATAGCACATTCGCGCTTGTAGCATCTGTTGTTATTGAAGTTTGACGTATTTGTGTTATCTACTCTTTTATTGACTCTCCTATCTTACCTCTGCTTTCAGATATTTGGTTGTATTCATAACATAACTGAAGATGGATTTCGACATTATAGATGATGTAAAGCCGAGGTTTCAACTCCAGTCTGGACCTCTGGAATCCGAAGTTGAAGAAAAGGAGCTCAACCATGTGCTTATTGGGGTCTGTTCAAGCGTTGGAGTTCTTCTCCTGGCTCTCTCGTGGTTCCAGATGGGGACGCTTCGATTTCTATGCCTCTGGCTCTCTCTCTCTTTATTTATTGGCCCCTTTGCTCCTGTATCATTAACAGGTGGAAATTGTAGAGTAGGTGAGGGAGAATTGATTCCGGATCTGAATCCATTGGAAGAAGTATCAGCGGGTACAGATAAGCGAGCAAAAGGCCACAAGAGAAGGTTGGATGCGACTGTTGGAAAAGTGTCCTCAATGGAGAGTTCTATGCCGTCGACCGTGCCGGCTCCAAATGACAACGTAAATGGAAAACCTAGCAATGCTGATGCATAACATTCTAGTATTGGGGCAGAAATCATGGATAGTTTTCGGAGTTCGAAGGGGGCGCAATGACTGGAATAGTGTGTTAATGAACTCGTTTTCAGTCTTTTGAAAGCTGTTCTTCTTCCAGAATCGTGATGAGTATGTTTTGGTGCGCTCAATCCTTGGTTAGTGAGCAACTTAGAATATTTATGTGATACTTTAGCGATGGGACCTGTGATCGAAATTAACAGGTCAGAGAGTTTTCTTTACCTGTGACGAGAAGCATTAATGTTGCTCGTATCACACACTTACAGAACAAGATTTCTTGTGTGTCTGGTATGAGTGGTTTAATTTTTTAGTTCAGTGTTGTAGCTGGAAATTTCCTAGTTGAGAAATTGAGGCTCCGGAAACTTTTATCCACCATAGGAGGATTGAACTTGAAGTGCATGGCAAAGGACGTGTATTTCAAATGGTTAATTTGCATTGGGCATGATCTGTATTCCGGGATTTTCCAATCAGGTGTCACATATAAAGATCCAAGGCATTGATGTCTAAGTTGGAGAAACACTCGGGTGACGAACATCAAAAACCTGCAATCGTCTCTTTTTACAATGTTGGAATGGCTCATCAACCTAGCTTAATGTGGCTGAATGATTGGCGGACCAGTGGAGCCATGGTGTAGTACCGAAACATTGAGGACGATATCAATATTTATCATGACTGAGGTGTATGTAGTTATCTATTTATTTAGTAATTTTCGGTTCAGAAGGAGTGTGCCATTTGTCATCAAGAAGTTATATTCAACTCAGCAAGAGTTGTATTAATAGGAAGATGTCCTTTTGGATGAGGGTTGCACTACAATATGAGATGAAGGGAAATTGGATTTTAGATATTTTCTATCTTTTTTGTATAATCTAAGTTGCATCAAAATTGCACAAAATTGATTGATATCTTTTGAAATTGCAACTCAACATTTTATAAAAGTTAAATAGATGTGTTCATTGATATTTTGAAATAAGAGAGTGTATTTTTTATTTTTGATATTGAGTATATTTTTAGATTTATAAGAGAGTTTATTTTTTGAATCTATGTGTATCTATCAATGATTGATAGGTTAAAAACTTGGCCAACAAGGTTGTTATATTTTGCACATGTTGGCTATTTGTAGTACAAGTTGGTCATGTGGTGCATATATATATATAACTTGTCTTTTAAGTTAAATATGTTTTTTATAAATTTGATAAGTGGTGGAGGTCCTATAAAATGTTGCTGTATAATTTCTTGTTAAATAATATATATAGAGGCAAGAGTGAGACCTTTCTCATTCACATCATTAACTTTCTTGCTTTTATTCTAATTTTGAAGAATTTATAGTTTCTTAGTAATAAAATCTATTATAGTTTTTAAAATTTTTGTCCTTAACAAATTGACAAGAGTGTATTTATCATATTATAATTAAATAAATAGAACATTTAAACATATAGTGCACTTATAATATTGTAAATGAAATTAGATTCATCAATTAAGTATAATTGGTCATTAAACTTCAATCTCAAAGTTATTCAATTTTAGGATTGTAAGTCAAGTTTATTAGAGGACTACTTTTAAGTTCTATTTTATCATCATTTTTAATTTTTCTTCAATGATATGATCCAATATTGAATAATTTGGAGGATTTTTTGATAAAGTTTCAATCCATGTATGTAAAATATAATGCAATTTATCTTACAACTAAAAAAATTTGTACATTGCATTAAGGCAATCAATCTATAATACTATATGTTTTGTAATTTTGACAACTTATGATTGATATTAAATAAAATGATAATGCATTCACCAACCAATTTCTTTATTGATTATAATATAAAATAAAGAAATTGATGTTGAACTTATTTGATCATTGATTTAAATAATTGACTTTCATGTAAAGTAAAACAATTGTCTTTTTAAATGTCAATTTTAATAATTGCATAAATAAGCCTCAACGTTTTTGCAATTCTATGGCAACACCAATGTCTATTTAACACATATATTTAAAAAAGTAAGTCATACAAAGTATTATAATATGTTTCAAACTTCTTAGTAAATAAGAAAAGAATTGACATTGTCAAGAACTCCATTTATATTGAGAAGAATCTAAATAAACTACTCAAAATTGTCCAAAGAAGCAAGACAAAAACAAAATGAAATGTGTAGTTGTCAAAAAAGACAATATATAAAAAAACGTGTTTGTCTAGCTACAATAAGAATTGTGCACCTTGAATCTTATACAATGCCCAATGAAGATCCTACTCTTTTTTAAGATTTTTTTTTTTTGTTTTACAACAGATGTTTATTTAAGATCTAAAAATTACAAAACCTTTGTCTTGCTAGTTTAAAAGCCTTAATATGTTTTTTGAGATGAAGACTTTGTTAAAACACCTTTAGTAAAAAAAAATCAAACCTATGGATATAAAAATCATAGATAGTTGTCTATTGTCTTTTGGAGATGTTATCTATAAAATCCTTCCTATAAATAAAGCAATAAATGGTCATAATAGCTTAATGATATTCAATATTACAAGAATCCTTTTTAATCTAGTTATTTTTAGATTTATTGTGACCAAATAAGTATTATCTTTAAATAGATTAGATTTCTTAAATACCTAACTAAGATCTTCAAATGCTATTTGAAATCTCCAATAAGAGCACCTATTTTGTTTGTAAAGAAAAAAGATGAATCATTGCAAATGTGTATGGATTATTGAAGGCTCAATAAAATTACCAATAAGAATAAATATCCTCTACGTTGATATCAAGTCTTCTTAATCAATTGAATTAAGCTAACATCTATACAAAATAGATTTATAAATAGCATACAATTTGGTACATATTAAAAAAAGAGATAAATAAAAGATTACATTTCAAACTAAATATAGACATTTTGAATACAATACCATGCCTTTTAAACTCACAAATATACCAATTACTTTTTAATATCTAATAAATGATATTTTAAAAGAATTTTTAGATAAATATATTATTTTTTTTTCTAAAAATATAAAAATTATAAACTTTATATTAGATATATATTATAAAAACTTAAAATTGTAAGATTATATGCTAAGATGAAAAGGTTTTTATTTTATACTACTTAAGTTGATTTCTTAGGATACATCATTTCAAATCATGGCCTTATGATAGATCCTAAAAAATTCCAAATTATCATGGATTAAAAGATCTCAAAAATAATAAAAGATATCTAATGTTTTTTTTTAAAAAATTACTAAGTATTATCAAAATTTTATCAAGATTGTTTTTTTTAAAGTTATAACTTTACTTATTTATTTGACTTTTAAAGAAAAAATTGAGTAAAATAAAGAAGTTGAAATAACATTTGAAAATTTAAAGACGACCTTTATTGACCATAAGAAATACCTTAGAAAAGTTGATACAATATAAGATTTTATAACACTAATCTTATATTGTATCAGCTTTTCTAAAGTTTTTCTTATAGAAATGAATGCATTTGTCAAGGATATGAATCTTGTAAAATCAAAAATTCAATATACTCTTGATTCACTTAGAAAGAATAGATATTTATTTAAAATTAATATAGTATTAAAATTCAAATGGCTATTGCTAAATAAAATAAGATTAAAAAGTCTTGAAACAAGACTATGAACTAAAAAGGTGTTGACAAGAATGAAGAAGGCTTCATTCTTACCTTCTATATATACTATTTAACTAGGTATTACAGATTTATATATTTATTCTAATAATTACCTAAATATTATCAATAAATAAAAGTAAGTTGTTTGATAATATCTTGTAGAAAAGCTTCTTAAAAGCTTTATAGATGCGATTTCATCTTTATATGTTTTTATAAGTGATTGATAGGTTAAAAACTTGGCCAACAAGTTAGGTATATGTTGTATATGTTGGTAGCTTGTGGCACAAGCTAATAATATAGCACACATATAAGAAACTTTTTTTGCAAGTTAAGACATGTATCTTGCAAATTAAAGATGTGTTCGAGGTCTTATAGAATGTTTCCATATAGCTTCTAATTAATTAATTAATTAGATATATATAAAGCTAAGAGTGAAGCCTTTTTTACTCTCTTTTCAATGCCTTTTTAGTCTTTACTCTTGTTTCAAGACTTTCTAATTTTCTTGTCTTTGGCAATAGCTATTCTAATTTAATATTACACCATCTTTAAAACTCTTCAATCTTTTCAAATAATACAAGAATGTATTGATCTTTTAATTCTTTGAGATTGATGTCCTTGATAATTTGATAAGAGAGCTAATTCATTGTTCTTATTTTATTTTTAGACACATGAATAGAATATCCCACTTCTATTTTTATGTTTTGAAGGTTATAGAATATCCACCTTGAATCTAATATTTCAATATCTTAATAGTGATTTTTTCCTTAAAGAGAGTAGACTACCTCTCTTTGTAGGAATTTTTATTTGGTATTAGAAGTTCTGGATTACTATCTTCTAATTTTATTCAAAGATTTATTTTAAGTTGTCTATAGAAAGATAAATTATGAATACTTTTTTTAGTAGAAGTGAAAATAGATTTGTGACCATTATAGATCTTCAAAAGCTTGTTAATACTTTTAGATAGAAATCTCAAATATCTTTAATGTCAATCATAGAGGTAGTATTCTAATGCCTATAGAAGATATCAACAATCAAGTTCAAAGTCTACACCAAGAAGTTATATAATTGAAAGAAGCAAATAGATCAAATTCACAATTAAATTTGAGAAGTCTTGCTACTATAAGTATGAGAGAGGCAAAGATAAATATATCAAAGAATTTTGATGGAATAAGATTAAAGTTTTAAAGATTTTTACAACAAATAAAGCTCTATTTAAAATTACATTTTTTTTCAATACCTTGATGGATTTATTCCAATTGGATTTACTCCAGTTAGATTTATAAGAACATTTTTCTTTGACAATACTCTCTCTTGATTTATATCTTTAATGAAAAAAGATTTATAACTACTTTATGATTTAAATTCATTTTTGAAAGTC